GAAATGGTCCAAATTCAACAACAACAAAAAAAAAAAGAAAAAAAAAAAAGCTGGGAACTGGGCTACAACATTCCCAATGACAAATGGAATGATTCGGGCCATTCAACCACGCCTAAACCACCAGTACCTCGGCCATATAGCGGCCGCGGGAATAAATACACTAGAATCCTTTCAACTCGGATGAATTTGGGCGCTCCAGTCCAGGCCCGTTCATCCAAGCGCGTCGCTGTTCCGTTTAAACGGCCACTACTAGAGACACAGCACAGCACCCCCAGTTGCCGGGAACACTGCTATTCACCTACGTTTTTTTCACTACGTTTTTTTAACTACGTTTTTTTCACTACGTTTTTTTCACTACGTTTTTTTCACTACGTTTTTGCCCCATCAATTCAGGGCATGCTCACACTACGACTTTTTCTTCTGAGCTCTGGACTTGATTATGGTAAGATTCACCTAGGTCTGGGCGTAATTGCGCTATGAGACGATCAGCATGGTCCCCAAACATACAAAAAACAAAACGTGTAGATATTCTTTTTTCCCCAATGAATGCATTTTCAAATGAATTCATTCTACTGTATATATTCTATTGGATTTTTTTTTTCCCCAATGAATGCATTTTTAAAGATAGACAAAGACAAATGGAGAAAAACAGAGGTCTTTCTCTTTTCTTATTTCCCCCTTTTTGCCAATTCATGTATTTTGTACTGTTTTCGAAAAGGGACGATAGCAAAAAAGTCTGAAAAAGAGAAAGGTCGCGCAGCAAGAGGCCGCAACCCACAGACCCAAATGAAAGAGAAAAAAAGAAAAGAAAAAAAAATCGGGCACTACCCCTCCATCGTGATCTTGTCGCCCTTCCTTATGATCGTGAGCAAGAGGGGAAAAGAAAAAAGAAAAAAGAAAAGAAAAAAAAGCGGGGGAGGGGAAGGAGGAGAAGAAAACAGAAAGGGGAACGGTCACATAGCAAACAGCAAGTCCTTTTCAAAAATAAATCTGAACTTTCCCGACTGTACTGATCTCATTTCAAAATAATAATAATAAGTAAATCCCGAAGATGCCCATGGAACCCTGGAGTCTATGAAAGGCCCTCAGCTATGCATTTCCTCAATGAAATGCCTCATTCATTCATTCAATAATTCATTAATTCATTAAGCATAAACGGGGACCTTATTATTGCCAAGCACGGAGTGCTGAGTAAAGCCATGCGCAAAATTCATATGACACATTAATCAACGATTCTCTTTCTTCCAAAGGGGCGCAGGGGGGGGGTTGAAAGAAACGATTACGCCCACGTGAAATCAAAATGCAGCGACGCCCTTCGCCCCCCCCCCCCCCTTTCGGAACCATTTCTTTTTTCTTTTTTTTTGGTGGGGGACTGTGGAGTTCTTAACCCTCTTCCACGATTGTATGGGTACGATAATTGCTTTCAGTCCTGCGGGGCATCGGTGAAAATTGGAACGATACAGAGAACGGTAATTAGCAAAATGGCCCTGAGAATGGATGAGGCTCATAAATCGAAGTAACTACAGGTTGGTGGGTGTTCCCTGGGGCGAGGTCCCACTAGCAACGGGATTGCATTAAGCGACTGTATTTGGATGACTTTTAAGCAGAGATGCAGAACAGCAGATCGATCGCGATTTTCGTTTTTTTTATAAAACTACACTACGTTCGTCTCTCAAATTCTTTTTTCGCCTTTCACTACCTTCCTACCACTACTCCTAAGACTATATAGAAGGGACCCCTGCAAGCATAGGGCCTCGCGAACGAGGTAATTCATGTTGCCCCCCGGCCCAACAGCGGTAGTCAGACATGGGGTGGGGCCGCCGGTTGGGGTCCGGCTCACGCAAAGACCGAGCATTTTGCCAGTAGCTGCGCCTCCCTTTCTCATCGTCCCCCACCCCTCATCGAGTAGCAGCACAGGCTATGGCCAACACTCTCCCACACACCACACATAACCCACTCGCGCTCGCACTCACAACCGTGTTGGTCATAGACCCGGCAAATACCGATCAGGGGTACTGCACTACACACACTCGTCCAGATTCAGCGGTTAAATTCAACCCTCTTTGCTAGTGGGACCTCGCCCCTGGTACTCTACATACAGTAGAGAGATGAAGAGATGTCAAAGTGGGGAGAAGAATAAGGGAAGCGATGATGGAATGGAGTTAAAAAAAAAAAAAAAAAAGTCCAAACACCACAAAGCCCCTTCACTTACCATTCTTCTCCATGCTTAGTCTTTTTCCATTTTCCCCACTCATTCATCCTTCTTCCCTCATTCAATCGCTAACCACCATAACTCTTGTTCTCTTTTTTTTTTTTTTTTTTTTTAACCAT